CCTGATTCCACGTAGAACCGATCCCACGTGGAAAACCGATTCCATAGGGAGCTGATCCCATGGAGAACCCATCACATCGTCGTCACGAGATTCAAGATTCAATATCGAGCGGTCACTGCGACCGGAGCCGCTGACGCCACCACAAACAGGGCATGGCTTCCTTCCTTCCTTCTGCCAAATCCCGCAAACTGCCGCGGTCCGCGCGACGCTGCGACCTCCACGCGGTCAGTCAAGTCTCAACATCGCCGCCGCCACCATCACCACCACCGCCACCACCACCATCGTCATCTGGCTTGAGGTCTTCTCGCCGCTACAGATGCGAGACACGTCCTTCAATGATCACTCGTGCAGTCTCACCATCATCACCATCATCCTCCACGTTTTATCGTCCCCCTGGTCGCCGACTTCTGGGTGCCACTCCAATGGCGGTCTCGGTCACGTGCCCCCCCCTCTCCTCCTCCTTCTCCTCCACCCAGCACACCAACCACGTGTCCCACCCATCACGACCTCCTTTGTCTCTCTCTGATCACAAGATGCACGTGGCCTGTTTTGTTTGTCTGGCGCGGGATGGGAAGGCGGAGGAGGGGCGGGTTTGTCCATTTCAGACGAGCAGACGGTGACCGGTGGAAACTCCACATTACTGTGGCAAGCCTTGTCACCACATCGCCCGCGCCTCCAGGCTGCTTCCTGCTCAACGTCCGCCCGCGACCTCCTCGAGCCGAGACCGTGCGCGCAACAGAAGCGACGGCGGCTATGAACGTCTTCCTTGAGATTACAAAAACACACCTTCAATATTCATCCTTAAATATAGAGAGATATATATATAGAGACCTCTATGTATAATATACTGTGTATATATAGCATAATAATAAATAAATACCCGATGATACAAAGTGTAGGAAATAACGTCTGGTTTTGCTGTCAAATTTTTGCCCCCTTCCCCCCCCCTCCCCACCGCCCCCCCCCACCCACCGCTCGAGAGCACGCGGCACGTTAAAGACCCGGCGGCTTGGCGAGTGGGCGACACTCGCTGGCACGGAGCTGGGCAGGGGCGCTGTGCTCGCTGCTGCTGCTGCCCATGCTGCTGCCCATGCCGCTGCTCTTGCCGCTGCGTTACGATGGACTCGGATCGGAGGAGGAAAATAAACTTCTAGAAACGTAAGCGCATCTCACTCTCTACCTGAATAGTCCATACATTTACCGTACTGCGTACAATCATGAAAAAATAGACATTCAGAGCACGACTGTCATCTTAACATGATGGGCATTGGCTGGGGGGGGGGGGGCAACCAGCACGGGGGGAACAGGAATGGGGGGGGGGGGGACTTCACAAACCCTACACTGGTGCGAGGACGCGGGAGGGTAGCGGCGATGTCAGAAATAAATAAATAAATATAGTATTATCATCATATACACTCTTTTTTTTGTAACATTTTCGTTAAACATGTTTTTTTCCGTACAAAATACCGAATATCACTATCATAGGAACAGTAGTAGTAGTAATAAGTCATTTTTTTCGTGTGTTTTTAGGAGAGGAGGGGGGGGGGGGTACTTTTGGAATTTCGGCGACGCAACGGAACATAAATAAATAAATAACCGGCGATCCTAACACAGCAAACTCTGACACGCAGCGTGTGCCTGCCCCTCCTCCCGTCTAACGCACACAGAAGGGGCGACACACGAAACTGGCGCTGCTGCTGCTGCTGCTACCACTGCAACTACTAACTAGTACGAAGCACCGCTACTCACTACGAACTCACCACACGCCACGGACGGTTCGTACAATCCGCCCACCCTTAACTTATGATTCCCCTCCCCCGTGTCGCTACAAAAACACGCGTCACCACGTGGACAGAACGCGGTGTGGGTGGTGGTGGTGGTGGTGGTCAAGGCAGCCGGTGGTTGTTTAGTTGTTGTTGTGGTTGTTGTTTGGATTCTCAGCACCCCCGTTTAAGGAACAATCACCCGAGGACTAAGAACTCTGAACCACGGAACTGCTGCCCCACAACTTAATCTCTGTCGACTTCAGCGTTTTACGTAGGCATCACGGTCATCTGGCCCCCAGTCCATGTCAGATAAGGATCGTTGAGCTGCTGTTTTACTGCATGCGTTCGTCTGGGGTGCGCGTGGAGAGATTCATCGCTCGCACGTGGAGAGAATCATCGCTCGCACGTGGAGAGATTCATCGCTCGCACGTGGAGAGATTCATCGCTCGCACGTGGAGAGAATCATCGCTCGCACGTGGAGAGAATCATCGCTCGCACGTGGAGAGATTCATCGCTCGCACGTGGAGAGAATCATCGCTCGCACGTGGAGAGATTCATCGCTCGCACGTGGAGAGAATCATCGCTCGCACGTGGAGAGAATCATCGCTCGCACGTGGAGAGATTCATCGCTCGCACGTGGAGAGAATCATCGCTCGCACGTGGAGAGATTCATCGCTCGCACGTGGAGAGAATCATCGCTCGTACGTGGAGAGATTCATCGCTGGGAGAGGGAGAGGCGACTCGCTGGGAGAGGCGACCGTCATCGATTTTGTTCCTCGGTATCTTGATGATTCGAGAGCGTATCCAGTCGACTTCATGACACGCAGCCTTACCCAGACCACCAGCTCGAAAGAACTAAACGCGTTGTCCACGTTGTCAATTTGACGACCCAAACTCAAAGCGACGAGAACACGCGGCCACCCCGCAACAGGGCGGCGAGTGAAACAAGACGCAGCTGCAGAGCGGCTTAGTCCTCATTAGGACTCATCAGCACAGCACAGTCACATTATCTCAATAGTTTGGAGTCTGGGTGGTCTTTAGCGATAAAATGGCCGCGCGTGCAGTTCTTGCGAGATGGTGGTCTGGATAATGCCGAGCGATAGCAATTTCACACCCAATTTGGTTGCTTGTTAAATCTACTCGTGTCACGGCCCTGCGCTCATTGTTATCCAGCGATGACGATTCTCGCCATGTTACAGATTGGAATCAGCGCCGCCACATGCCAATCGCGTCGCCACGGTAACACAGCCAACGCGAGCGCGTCACCACGGTAACACAGCCAACGCGAGCGCGTCACCACGGTAACACAGCCAACGCGAGCGCGTCACCACGGTAACACAGCCAACGCGAGCGCGTCACCACGGTAACACAGCCAACGCGAGCGCGTCACCACGGTAACACAGCCAACGCGAGCGCGTCACACACGGTAACACAGCCAACGCGAGCGCGTCACCACGGTAACACAGCCAACGCGAGCGCGTCACCACGGTAACACAGCCAACGCGAGCGCGTCACCACGGTAACACAGCCAACGCGAGCGCGTCACCACGGTAACACAGCCAACGCGAGCGCGTCACCACGGCCCAACGGGAATGCCACCAATGTGTCACAAGGCCTGTCCGCCTCCCCCCCCCAACCAAACCACCGCCGAGCCCCCCACCACCCCGTGCACCCTTCCCCTGTATACACTCGCAGCCTTGGCGTTGGCGACGGTGGTGTTGGGGGGAGGAGGGAGGGAGGAGCAGGGAGGGGGGGGAAGAAGGGGGGAGGGGACAATGTGTGTAAAATAGTTGTTACATTCATCAGACGTGAAGCTTAAAAATATAGTATTCATTCCGATTTGGCCCTTGGCATCGCGAGCACAGTGATGCTACGGGGATCAAGGATGAAAACCTCTTCATCCCTGTGACCTGAATACCCTTGACCCCTGAAGGTTCATTACATTCATTGGGTATAGAGTACATGACTTTGAAGGACAGCGCGGTGTGGATAGTTACAGCGAGAGGCGACGGCTAGGGGGCTAGGGGGCTGGGGGGGGGGGCGCTCCGGCTGGGGAGGGCTGTGGGGGATGCGGGAGGTAGTGGGGGCCGCTCGCAGTGGGTGGGAGCAGGAATCTTGCTCTCCTCGGTGGGGGGGGGGGGGGGGGGGGGGGGGATTGTTGATCCGCAGGAAGCCATCTCGATTCCGAAATCCGGTCCGGGTGTCGTGGGCTGCCGAGACCGGCGGAGAATTCCATTGCCCCCCCCCCACCCCGAGTGCGCCACCTGCCCCCCCTCGCCCAGTCACCCAGTTGCCCCCACCCCCGCAATCCAGCCAGCGATGCTGAGATGTGCGATGAAACCGCTATTGCTGACGATAAGGAGTGGGGTGGGGGGAGCGCTGGGCGCGGGTCCGGGTGGGCGAGTGAGAGGGTGAGCGAGATGGTGAGTGAGAGGGTGAGCGAGAGGGTGAGCGGACGGACTGATGATCGGGCGCCGCAGGCTCTGCCCCGCAAATGGGAGCGCGCAAGGGAGAGAGCGCTAGGGAGAGAGCGCTAGGGAGAGAGCGCTAGGGAGAGAGCGCTAGTGAGAGAGCGCTAGAGAGAGCGCGCTAGGGAGAGAGCGCTAGGGAGAGAGCGCTAGGGAGAGAGCGCTAGTGAGAGAGCGCTAGAGAGAGCGCGCTAGGGAGAGAGCGCTAGGGAGATAGAGCGCTAGTGAGAGAGCGCTAGGGAGAGAGCGCTAGGGAGAGAGCGCTAGTGAGAGAGCGCTAGGGAGAGCGCGCTAGGGAGAGAGCGCTAGGGAGATAGAGCGCTAGGGAGAGAGAGCGCTAGAGAGAGAGCGCTAGGGAGATAGAGCGCTAGGGAGAGGGCGTTAGCGAGCGAGCGCTAGGGAGAGCGCGCTAGAGAGCGAGCGCGCTAGGGGAGCGCGCTAGGGAGAGCGCGCTAGGGAGCGAGCGCTAGGGAATGAGCGCTAGGGAGAGCGCGCTAGGGAGCGAGCGCTAGGGAAAGCGCGCTAGGGAGAGCGCTAGGGAAAGCGCGCTAGGGAGCGAGCGCTAGGGAGAGCGCTAGGGAGAGCGCGCTAGGGAGAGCGCTAGGGAAAGCACGCTAGGGAGCGAGCGCTAGGGAGAGTGCGCTAGCGAGAGAGCGCTAGGGAGAGCGCGCTAGCGAGAGAGCGCTAGGGAGAGCGCGCTAGCGAGAGAGCGCTAGGGAGAGCGCGCTAGGGAGAGTGCGCTAGCGAGAGAGCGCTAGGGAGAGCGCGCTAGCGAGAGAGCGCTAGGGAGAGAGCGCTAGGGAGAGTGCGCTAGCGAGAGAGCGCTAGGGAGAGCGCGCTAGCGAGAGAGCGCTAGGGAGAGCGCGCTAGGGAAAGCGCGCTAGCGAGAGAGCGCTAGGGAGAGCGCGCTAGCGAGAGAGCGCTAGGGAATGAGCGCGCTAGCGAGAGAGCGCTAGGGAATGAGCGCTAGGGAGCGAGAGAGCGCTAGGGAGCGAGCGCTAGGGAGCGAGTGAAGGGTGGCACGGTGAGCGACGGGGCTGTTGGGGGGTGTCGCGCCGGCTGCCGTGGGGGAGCGACGCTCGCCCCTCCCCCCGGTCCTTCCGTTTGCCCCCCACCCCCCCCCCCCACATTCTTCGGCTCTCTCGCCGCGTCCGGATGGCGGTGGGGGGTCGTCACCGCTCCTCTCCGCCCCGTGCCCCTCCCCCCCCCCGCTACACCTGGATGCCCTTGACGGCCTGGCGGATGCTCTCGAGCAGTGCCTTGCTCTCGGGGCTCTGGTAGCGCTCCTGGTTGGTGTACATGTCGGTCAGCGTCGTCACATACGCGTCGAAGTTCTGCTCGTTGATGGGCTCCTGCGTGGGACGACAAGACACAGGTGAAGCCACTCCCCGGGCAGCCCTCGCGAACACGAGTGGCGCATCGCAACGGATGTTCACCTGTGCGTGCGTGTGCGTGCACGTGCGTGCGCGTGCGTGCGTGCGTGCACGTGCGCGTGCGTGCGTGCGCTTGCCCTGACGGGCCGCGTGGGCTACGCGGGGCACCTCCGCCCCTTGTCCACGCACCATGTGCGGCAGCTGGATGTTGGCGAGGCTGCGGATGAGCGTGTGGCTCAGCGAGGCGAGCTCGTGGAGCAGCACCTCGTTCTGGTGCTCCATGGCCTTGTTCTCCTCCTCCATCGACTTCAGGTTGGTCTCCATGTTGGCGATCTGGATACACACCGCACCAGGTACTCATTTGAGGCTGAGTCGACCTACGGGAGGCCCAGGACCTGTTCAGGTAATCGTCACTGGTGTCAGTGGCCGTCAGGTGGGAATCGAGCCCAGGGTCCGCCGGGCTGGTAGCGCACCGCGCTAACTGCTACACCCACCGCTCCCCGGTCGAGTGGTCTTGCTGTGGAGATTCATTCGCGACACGACGTCAGTCTCTATCGGTGGCTCACGTCTGGTTCGATCTGCAGCGTGGCGGTCGTCGTCCCTGCCTACCGCATCTCTCGCCATCGCCCAGGAGCCACACACACGAGCGGGAAGGCAGCAGCAGCCGGGCGGCGACGAGCCGGTGCTACCAACAACTGCCCAAGCTCCACCGTCCTCTATATATTGAGACGTTTTCAGCCAATTAATGATGAAAACTTGGAGATTAGTCCACGCACTTTTCTGTGCCGCCTTCTGCTGGCGAGCCAGGGTACGGCTCCTCCCCGACGCCCACCCACGTGGTAGGAAGGGAGTTCCACAGCGACGTCTGTGCGGTGATCCACCAACCCTCGCTGCTGCCTCCACACTGCTGGGCTACAGGCAGCCACGTGCAGCGTAGCCACCACCACCATCACCGCTACCACCGCCACCACTACCAACACCACCACCATCGCCAGTACCACCACCGCTACTGTTGCTACCGTCGCCACCGCTACCACCGCCACCACTACCAACACCACCATAACCACCATCGCCAGTACCACCACCGCTATCCACCGCCACCACTACCAACACCACCACCATCGCCAGTACCACCACCGCTACTGTTGCTACCGTCGCCACCGCTACCACCGCCACCACTACCAACACCACCATAACCACCATCGCCAGTACCACCACCACTACCATCGCCACCGCTACCACCACCGCTACCACCACAGTCACCACCCGCGATCTCTCTCATGAGTCACAGTTCCACATGCAAATGACATCTGGAGCTGACGCAGGCAGGAGGAGGAGGGGGGTCGCATCCGGCAGTGAAGCCTGCAAACGCAATCGTTCAACGGTGGCCAAATTTGTGTCGTGAGATTCTAGACCACCCGATACAGCCAGACGAAATGTCATTGTCATTAAATTGTCACGTTTGCACGTGGTTAACGGTGCGCTGATGATTATTGCCGAGGTGGCTTCACCGCTTTATCGATGGGTGAGAATTGTTCTCCAACTGATGTGGGGTTTGGTACTGGGTTGTGGCGTGGTGTCGAGTGGTGTACTGTGGCGCAGAGCGGTGTGGTGACGTGCGGTGTGGTGCGGTGTAGTGTGGTGTAGTGTGGTGTGGTGCAGTGCGGTGTAGTGTGGTGTGGTGACGTGCGGTGTGGTGCGGTGTAGTGTGGTGTAGTGTGGTGTGGTGCAGTGCGGTGTAGTGTGGTGTGGTGACGTGCGGTGTGGTGCGGTGTAGTGTGGTGCAGTGCGGTGTAGTGTGGTGTGGTGACGTGCGGTGTGGTGTAGTGTGGTGTAGTGTGGTGTGGTGTAGTGTGGTGTGCTGTGCCATAGTGTGGTGTGGTGCGGTGCGCCACCTGTGCCTGTAGGCGCGCCACGTCTGCCTCCATCTGGGAGTTGGACTCGCTGAGCTCCTGGATCTCATCGTCCAGCTGCTTGATGTCCTCATCGTTCTCCACCTCTGCAAACACATCGTCATCATCATCATCGTCATCATCATCATCATCGTCGTCATCATCATCATCATCATCGTCACCATCGTCATCATCATCGTCATCTTCATTGTCGTCGTCATCACCATCGTCATCATCATCATCATCATCGTCACCATCGTCATCATCATCATCATCGTCGTCATCATCATCATCGTCATCATCATTATCGTCATCATCATCACCATCGTCATCATCATCATCTTCATTGTCGTCGTCATCACCATCGTCATCATAATCATCATCGTCACCATCGTCATCATCATTGTCATCGTCATCATTCTCCGAGTGAGTGAGTTGTGGCGGCGCGGTGAGCGCTGTTTGCCGGGCGAGCCTGGCAGGACCCTCTTGTGCACTTGCCGCTGCTGGCGCGGAACTTGATGGTGAGGATTTCGTCCCCGGAGAGACGCGCGCGCTTCAGCGCCGACGACACGCGGGGACACCCCGACAGGCTGCACACACACGCGCACACAAAGACAAAGATCCCCCGTGGAGCCTTAACAGACAGTAGGGGCAAGTGCTGTTAGCGAGTAGCCGCACCAATGAATACCGACATGGCGCCGCAGAGAGGGTGGCGGTGCGGCCCTCAACCAAAGCTTGGCCGCCTTTGTATCCCCAAGGTTTATATAACACCGTGGGGCACACGGACAAACGCAGGCGTGCCAAGACCCCCCCCCCTCCCCCTGTAAAGCCCGAACAGACTCGAGGGACAAGCGCCGTTACTGAGCACCGATTTGACGCGGGGCACACGAGAGCGGTGGGGCGGCCACCGCCACCCGGCCGCCTTTGTCTCCCCAGAGGCCCACGGCGGCTGCCCCCACCTGCGGTGCGTGAGGAAGCTGCGCGTGACGTGTCCCGAGCCGTCGCAGCCCGGCGTGGGGCACGTGACCCCGTCGGCCTTCCCGGGCCCCGCGGCCCGCCACGGGAAGGCCGCGCCGTTCAGGAAGCCCTCCTTCTGGCGCCGCGCGGCCAGCGGGCAGCCCGAGGCGCTGCGGTGTGACGCGTACTTGCCCGTCACGTGACCCTGCCCGTCGCAGCCCGGCACGGGGCACCTGTCGGCGATCGCAAGTCGGGGGGGGGGGGGGGGGACGTCGATTGTGACGTGGAAGTCAGCAGCGTCGTTGGTCAAATGACCGATCGCGCGGTGATCAGGATTTGTTTGTAATCGATAGCCCGGTGGTGGCGCTGCTGGTGGTGGCTACGCTGCTGCTGCTGCACGAGGCTGCCTGTACCCCAGCGCGCTGTGGAGGCAGCGGCAGCAGCAGGGAGGGTTGGTGGATCACCGCACAGACTTCGCTGTGGAACTCCCTTCCTACCACGTGGGTGGGCATAGAGGAGGAGCCGTACCCTGGCTCGCCAGGAGAAGGCGGTACAGCAAGTGGACTAGTCTCCATCTGTTCCATTTGTACGGGGGGCAGGGGGGGATATAGCGTTTCCCCCTCGCGCAAGGCGTGGGTTGTCTCCGCGTGCTCCCGTTTCCTCCTCCTCCCCACGTGATTAATACTCACGACTCGTCGGTAATCGGCTGACAACATCTTACTAACAAACACCTCAATGGAGCAGCAGCAGCAGCGGCAGGACCCTCCTGGCAGTGAGTCCTGCGACTCAGCAGCGTGGCTCTCCCGGAGGAGTAAATAACAACGAGGGTGTGAGGGTGGCGCCAGGCCGGGCCCGTGTGGTGGCCGTCACGGCACGCAGACTCCACCACGCGCGGTCTGCGGTGAGAGACGCAGCGGATCAGCTGCGAGCCTCCGCGGGGTCGCAGGGGAGAGGGGAGTGCCACGGGGCCCACGCGGAGCGAACCGGCTCGATTCACGAGCCGCGGCTGCTCGGGCGCGATGATGATGATGATGATGCCTTGGCAAGGTGCCGGTGTAGTGCGCACATTCCACTCACCCTGCGGTGTCCGATGTTACTCTGTGGATCTCTGTGTGACTCTATGAGACTCTATGCAATTATATGGATGTCAATATAGTGAGTGTGTGGTGAGTGAATGAGTGAATGGTGTGGCTAGTGAGTGAGTGGTGTGGTTGGTGAGTGAGTGGTGTAGCTGGTGAGTGAGTGAGGGGTGTGGTGAGTGAGTGGTGTGGTGCACTGGTGAGTAGGGAGGCTGGTGAGTGAGTGGTGTAGTTGGTGAGTGGTGTAGCTAGTGAGTGAGTGGTGTGGCTGGTGAGTGGTGTGGTGAGTGAGTGAGTGGTGTGGTGAGTGAGTGGTGTGGTGAGTGAGTGGTGTGCTGAGTGAGTGGTGTTGTGTGGTGAGTGAGTGGTGTGGCTGGTGAGTGAGTGGTGTGGTGAGTGAGTGAGTGGTGTGGTGAGTGAGTGAGTGGTGTGGTGAGTGAGTGGTGGTGTGGTGTGGTGAGTGAGTGGTGTGGCTGGTGAGTGAGTGCTTTGGCTGGTGAGTGGTGTGGTGAGTGAGTGGTGTGACTGATGAGTGAGTGAGTGGTGTGGCTGATGAGTGAGTGAGTGGTGTGGTGAGTGAGTGAGTGAGTGGTGTGGTGAGTGAGTGAGTGGTGTGGCTGATGAGTGAGTGGTGTGGCTGGTGAGTGAGTGGTGTGGCTGATGAGTGAGTGGTGTGGTGGTGGGTGAGTGGGGAGGCAGGGCTGGTTCGCTCACCCCATGTCTCCCCACCTGGTCTGCTCGGGGTCGTCCCTCTCCTCGCGACTCAGCGCCAGCTTGAGGCCGCTCTTCCTGGCACGAGGGCAGCCCGACAGGCTGCGGACATAGAGACAAAGGTCAGGTGGCAAGTGCTGCTAACCGAGCGCCTCTATGAAGACCAACAGGGCACACGAGGAGACACACGTGGCGATTGAACGACACATCTCTGGACTCTCCGTGTGCTGCGAAGAAGGGCCATTGCCCGAAACGTCGCATGTATTAATGACGAACGCGTTGTATTCAAATTGTCGGGCGGGGTGTGCCGTGGTGTAGCGGTTCTCGCATTGCGCTACGAACCCGCGACCCCGAGTTCCATTCCCGCTCACCGCCAATCACAGTGACCACAAATATTTCATCAGTGGGGAGACAAAGGCGGCCAGGCGTCGTGCTGCTGCCGGACAGCCCGTGCTGTCCCCAACAGTCGGCCGTGGCTCTGGGTGGGCGAATGACTCCGCCTCCTCCACAGAGCGCTGCGCCATGGTTCACCACCCCCCACCCCCCAGGCTGTTGACTGAGTTCACAGCCACTGGGGGGCGCGACTGTCACTCGGAAGCACACAAACTCTGCGCCCTCATTCCCCAGCCAACCAAAGACAAAGATCCCCCGTGTAGCCAGACTGTTGGGGCAAGTGCTGTTAGCGAATAGCACCTATGCAGGCCGGCACGGCACACGATAGGGTGGGTGGCCAGCACCACGCCCGGCCGCCTTTATCTCCCCCGTGGTGATGTTAACACATCGCAGCAGGTATTCATTTGAGGCTGAGTCCACCTAGGCGAGGCCCAGGCACGGCTTAGATAATCGTCACCGGTACTGGTCGTGAGCGGGAATCGAACTTGGATCGTCGGGTCGGATTCTATTCCCGCTACGGCGAATATTTTGAACAGACCCTGGGGCCTCCCCCTACGTCGACTCAGCCTTCAATGATTACGTGCCTCGGGGTGTACACATCAGCACTGGGCAGACAAAGGCGGGTGGGTGCTTGCCACAATGCCACCCTTAATAGGTGCTGCTACTCGCTAAAAGCACTTGCCCCAACAGCCTGTAGAGGCTATATGGGGGATCTGTGTCTTTGTTTGTGGCTTCCCAATGAATGTGAGAAGCACACTCTTGAGATGGGCGCCGCGGATTTATACACAAACACAGCCCCCCCTCCCCAGCTCGCCGAGATGAAAGGGGCCTCATTTGCAAGGAGATCAGAAGCGGCGGTTAAACTCGACGCGCGCATTACCGCCCACGTCATAGCCCCCCCCACCCACCCTACAGAATTACAGGGAACGCGGCGCGCGACTCGCGAGCGCCTTTCATGTGTCATGAAGAAGGTGTCCACTGCCTGAAACGTCGCCCATTATATTTTTGTGCGTGTTGATTCTAAGGCCACGCGCAGTGTCGCCATCGACGATTGCGTTGTGTTGTGCGGCCCGGAACCCAGGCCCGGCCGCCTTTGTCTCCACACCGTACCGGGTGCTCGTGTCAAGGCCGATGAGTCAACCTACGGCAGGCTGCCGAACCGGTTTATTTATCGCTCAGGCCGGTGACTGATCGCTCGCTCACCAGCGGTCAGGCTCCTCCTTATCACCCTTCTATCTCTACTACTACTACTACCATGTGCCTGTCGCTGTCAACTTCACTCATTGATTCCTCCCGTGTTGAGCAATCTGCCTATTTGACTGATGGTGCTGATGATGGGGCTGTTGGAGTGATGATGTTGATGGAGTGGTCGTAGTGATGGTGTTGATGGAGTGGTGGTAGTGATGGTGTTGATGGAGTGGTGGTAGTGATGGTGTTAATGCAGTGGTGATATTGATGGCGTTGATGTTTTTGATGGAGTCACGGTAGTGATGGTATTGGTAGAGTGATGGTGTTAATGGAGTGATGGAGTGATGCCACTGTACCTGCGATGAGAGGCGTAATTCCCCGTGATGTGCCCAGACCCATCACAGCCTGGCGTTGGGCACCTGGTGAGTGAAGGGGGCGGGGGGAGGGGAGCCGCGATGGGGGAAGGTTTGGCGGGGTGTGGGTTCAGGGGAGGGAGTCGGCGATATTGGGGGACGAGCAGAGTGAGAGGGCAGGAGGGGGGAGGGAAGGTATTTGGAGGCAGGGGAAAGTATGTGAGTTCAGGGCATGGTGAAGTAAGGGCAGGGTATATCAGGGCAGGGCATGGTAAAGTAAGGGCAGGGTATATCAGGGCAGGGCATGGTAAAGTAAGGGCAGGGTAGGAGAGGGCAGGGCATGGTAAAGTAAGGGCAGGGTAGGAGAGGGCAGGGCATGGTAAATAATTGCAGGGTATGTGAGTTCAGGGCATGGTGAAGTAAGGGCAGGGTATGTGAGTTCAGGGCATGGTGAAGTAAGGGCAGGGTAGGAAAGAGCAGGCCACAAACAATTCAGAGGGTGAGCGCGATGAGATTCTGTTGGAGAACACATGAATATTGCCAATGCATGCACAGCTCACAACAGTAAAAGTATGACACTGGGTTGGCAGCTGTGGCCAAATCTGCTCTATGCTGAGTTTCATAATGAAAGGTGAAGTGGTGTCTTAGGTTCACAAACACACACACACAGACATAAGCACACATAGCCACGTACACATCGAGACAAAGACAACCACATACACACACAGAAACAGACACAACCACTCAAAACTCACATACACCCACGCAATACAACTCGCTGGTCGTAGGCATCGGGAAGCCCACTCAACTCCACATTCTCCTGAACCGCATCAGCTCCATCTCTTCTTTAGTCCACCGAGCGCCTGTTTAGCCCCCTCTATCGGTCCAAACAGAAGGTGCTTGGGCTTGCGGTGGCTGGACATGCGGGCTACATGACCGAACCAAAGCAGTCTTGTCCGCTGGAGGAGCTCACAGATGGGACTGTGTCCAGATCGTTCAAGGATTTGTGAGCTCCTCACACAATCCTGCCTGGTTAAGCTCAGGCGTAGATGTTCCATCAGAGGGGTCCAGGTTTGTGGCCGAGAAGACTTGGAGATTTTTATAGAGTGACAGACCAGGGTCGCTTCCACACTGTGTTACGAAGCACACTGCCCATGCATAGAAACTTCTTTATTCCATCCACAACTGCCCCATCAGTCATGGAGAGTGGAGGGAGGGGAGTATTTGATGACACAAAATACTCAAGCAGCTGCCTAGATTGTGTGGGGTTCTTGGTAAGGTCCCATCTCTTATTGGTGGAGCCAAGATACTAAACTCCCCCTCTCGTGGTTTCTCCAGCAACAGCAGCAAAGCACCGTGGGTGGCCACATAGAATATTCGAAAGTTCACTGCGGAGGAGAGGCTGCCATTCCTCTGTCGGGAGCTGGATTGGTACCGCCTGGACGTCTGTCGAAATCAGGTGGTCCGGTGGGCTGGTTCTGGTTGCAGTCTCCACGAGGAGTGGACAATCCTCCACTCAGGGCACTTTTTTTGACCAAACGAATGAAGGGGTCGTTGGAGCGTGGCGGTGAGGTGTGGGAAGTTGGGAGTCTCATGATAATCGGGGTTCGCCTAACCATTCACTTGAGGCGAGGAATCGTGGTGGTGGATTACCCCCCCCCCAAGATGAACTTCAGTGGAAGTAAGCAGGAAAGGCTGATGAGTCAAATGCCTTGTATGACCTCCTGTCCCAAGTACCGAGGTGAAATGGGTGGGGTTCAGGACTGTGTGTCACGCAGCTGCTATGGCTGCATTGGATATGCAGTCCAGATCACTCCTGATGGAGGTGTTCCGGCTGGCTGAGGGAAATCAAGAGGCCCACTTCCACCGTCTTCAACTTCCCACGTTGGAGAATGAGGAGGCTTAATATAGTCTTCACTCGGAGGTTTGGAGGGCCGTACGGCACTTCAAGGCTGAGTGGCGGTCGTGGGATTTTGAGTTGATGGAAATTTCCTCAGCAGCTTCTGATCACAAATGACTTTAATTCCATTAATAATGTAATTTGCAGCACCACACCGAATGCCATCCTGAAGGAGAAGACGGGAACGAGCCGGCAGCTCTTGGGGGTGGGGTTGACCCTGCTGGGGCTGCCGTGCGTCAAATGTTGGAGGAAGCAGCCACCCCCTGTGAGTGGCTGCATGGTTTGCCGTTTGTTGACGAAGTAGGAGGAGCGATCCAGAGGCTGAGACCAGGCCAAGTTCTATGCAGAGAATGACCTCTCAAGCGAGCTGCAGAGTGGGAGGTGGCGATTTTGTGCAGCCTCAGACACATAAAACGACTCACACATACAGATACCCACTCACACACAAAGACTCACACGTACACACACAGACCCACGCTCACACACACGCACACACAGAATCGCACACACAGACACCCACTCACACACAAAGACTCACACGTACACACACAGACCCACGCTCACACATACGCACACACAGAATCGCACACACAAACAACCACTCACAGGGCCTTTAAGTCAAAATGACAGCGCCACTTTATGCTGATGTTATTAATGAATAGCTCGTTCTCTGTGACTTCGTTGAAATAAACTAGTTGGTAAATTCAAAATAGGAATTAATAATGACTGTGCTCTTTGCAAATAACTTGCAATGTGCGTCGCGGCTTGCTGCGACCAGGGGGGAGGGGGGGGGGGGCTAGGACAAGTCCAGTGTGCTTGTCGGATCTGTGGGGCGCGTCTGGCGGCTGAGGGCGAGGACAGTTTTAGAAACCTTCATACTTCAGCTCTTGTGAGTTGGACGATATCATGCTGCGGACGCTCTTGTCAGCCAAGGGGCAGCCAGACAGACTGGCGGGGGGGTGGGGGAGGGGGGCGGGGGGGCATGAAGGGCAGGCAGCACGGGGTAAGGGTTAGGGAAGGGTAGGGGAAGGTTAGGGGAAGGTTACGGGGTGAGTAGGGCAAGGGTAGGGGATGAGTAGGGCAAGGGTGGGGCCAGGTAAGGGTAAGGGTATGGGTGGGAGAAGAGGTAGGGGATGAGGTAGGGTAAGGGTAGGGGATGAGATGGGAAGGGAATGGGGAGGCGAGGGGAGGGGTAATGGCGACCAGGATCAGTGGGGTGGAGGAAAGAGCAAGGGGAGATTGGGAAGGGGGCGGAAAGGTAGGGAGTGAGGGGGTCAGGGGGTGAGGGGAGGTGTGAGGGGAGGGGGGTAAAAATAGGCATAAGTTTTAAAGTGGGAAAGCGGCACAGAGTGGAAAGCCAGGCAAGTCATCTGACACCGATGGATATCACCGAGGCGCGGTAAACAGCGAGACGCGGCGCGGGGTCGTGACCTGTGCTGCGACTCCGTGGGGAGCTCGCACGGCGCGCGCAGCCACCACGCAGCGGGGACGTGGGCGTGCGTGGAGGAGCTGTAGCCGAGGGGCCAAGGCAGCAGCGTTCGTCTAAGTCAAGAAGCAAAGCGATTGATCCCTGCTCGTATGCGCCTTGAGGCAATGGTGCTTATCTCCAGGTTACAGCCCTGCGGAGCAAGTGGTGGAAATTCCACATTCTTATGGCGGGAACGAGGACTCTCATGAGGACGATCACTGATTCACAAATGATCTGTGGGTCAGATTCGTGTGAGTAAAAATGTTGTGTCGTACACCCCTCCTCCACCCAATACAGACAATTAATAAAGTTGTCACTGCTTCAGCAGCATCGGCGGTGTGATGTCGGAGAGCGATTCGCAACAACATTTTACGATTTGGTACAATTTTGACAAACTCTATTCATTGGCTGTGTTGGGTGGAGGAGAGTTTACGACGCAACATTCTACTCGATGGATCCGACCAATAAAAACAATAATTACGAATCACATTGGTCGCGAAAGCCGATGCGTTAAATTTAAACCCGGCAATCACCGATGTTGATTTTCTCCCACACAAAGTGGTACTTGTTTTATCGATCCCGGAGGGAGGGGATGGTGAGGACCTGTATTGACCCCCCTCCACCCCCCTAATCCCATACTCGTCCACGCGCACGAGCCCGGGGCTCGCGTTGTTTTCTGTTCACCACCTCGGCTACAGCGTCCATCCACCAAGCAAGGCCGCTTCAACTTGACGATTCACTGCGACGGCCGGTCCGTTTGAGCAAGCGGAGGGGGGGGGGGGGCGCTGGCGATGATTAGGGGGGCGCGCTGGCGATGATTAGGGGGGCCGCGACTCGCGCGTTCGATTGTCTGCAGCCACCAGAGGCCGCTCTCATCAATGCGGCGTTTACCCAAATACATCGACTCGCTGGGCTGGCAACAATCGGAACCCTCATTGATGATGATGGCACTCTCTGCTGTAGGGAGTCATTTCAGGGAGATGTCGTCATTTTCGTAAAAAAATGACTCAACACGTTCGTTACTAATAGCTCTGTGTGTGGTCTTTTAAAGGAAACAAATAGGTGACGTTTCAGGCAATGGCCCTTATTCATAGACCAGAGTGGCGGAGTTGTTCGTCTTCCCTTTAAAGCCGTACACAGTTATTATTGACACGGAATGTGTTTTTGTTGTTGTTGTTGTCGTTGGCTGTGCCTGTGCACCACTGCCAACACAGCAGCAGCAGCACCCAATACTTTGTTAGACTTTATTTTAATCGGGAGGTATTGCCGTGGCGGCTTTGGGGGGGGTGGGGTGGGAATGGGGGGTGGGGGGGTTACCTCTCTTTGGGGGGTGGAGGGGGTGAAGGGATGGGGCAGGGGGGCAGGGATAGGGGGTCAGGGGTCGACACGTGGAGGTGGGGCGGACCTGCGGTGAGACGCGTAGTTCCCTGTGATGTGGCCGCTGCCATCGCAGCCTGGAGTCGGGCAGCTGTGAACGGGAGCACACAAAGACAAAGATCCCCCGTATAGCCATTGACAGAATGCCGAGGCAAGAGCTGTCAGCGAGTACTCTATGAAGGCCGGCACGGCGCCGCACGAGAGGGTGGTGGTATGGCCTGCAACCAAGCTTGGCCGCCTTTGTATCCCCAATGTTTATGTGTATCTCACCACGATAGGTAGTTATCTTAAATTCGACATAGGGGAGGCCCAGCACCACACACACATTCATACTTGCAGCTACACGTGGAGACTCTAACACACAAACACACACAAAGGAGAACACAGACATCCAGCAGAGGGTGCCACAGGCCCTAGACCTGGAATATTGTAAACCATCACCTGAATGTTCCCACTGCGTTGCACACACAGACACACAGCTGTGCTTAGATACACACACATACATACACTCACCACCCTGTAGAGCCTGAACTCTGGGGACAAGTGCTGTTAGCGAGCACCTATGACAAATGTGTTGAGGTTTTGTTGTTGTTGCGAATGTTATCGGCAAACGCCAATGTGCATTATACAATCGCGCCACGCAGTGTTGCAATTGGGGCGAACAGAACGAACAACAAACATCGGACAGGTGAGAGAGAGAGGGCGCGGGGAAGCAACACGAGCCAGATGGTAAAGCCAAAGTGCGAAGCAGAGGGAATGCATCTTTGAATCGACTCGCTGGCGTAAAGAAAAATTGCACGTCCCGTTCCCGGCGAGTTTCGCACGCGCGATGGAAACATTCAGCACCACGGACAGCGACCCCCTCGGCACTCGACCCATGCGCCAGTCAGCAGCTGAACATATCCTGCGGCCGCGATCAATCAATCTACTGCGTGATGAACGCCTGCCCAATAGTCGTCGCCGTTGTCCTGCTGCCCAGCGCCTGCCCACGAACTGATTCCATCGCTCCGTCTCTCCCAGGACGGCCTCGCGAGCCCGTTCAATCCCCCCGACTCCCGCTCCGCTATCGCGCCTGACCATCGGCGATCGTCCCCTTCTAGCCCCATGCATCTTGCCCACTGCTACTTACCTCTCCCCACAGTTTGCATGATACCTGAAGCCCGCACCCATTCGCATATCCTTTCTCGCGTCTAGAGAATGGAGTGTCGCCACCTTTGTTTACGTCTTACGGATTGACCATTGCGTCTCATCTCCAATGGGTTCAATCCTGGTGCTGCAGATGGTGGCAAGACACTCACTCACTCACTGACCCTGGTATTCACTAATCTTGTCACTCACTCAATCACTCACTGACTCATCCACTCACTCACTCACTGAGATGGCAGGGCAGGGCATGAGAGGGCTGGGCAGGGCAGGCTAGGAGAGGGCAAATTCCCGAGTGGGGTGGCGGGGGTGGGGGTGGTGAGTGCTGGGGGGGGGTGGTGAGTAGCGGGGGGGGGGTTGGTGAGTGCGGGGGGGGTGGGGTAGTGAGAGGAGGGGGGGTGGTGAGTGCGGGGGGAGGGGGTGGTGAGTGCGGGAAGGGAGGGGGTGGGTGCTGGGGGGGGTGTGAGTGCTGGGGAGGGCGTGGTGAGTGAGGGGGGGGAGTGGGTGATGTGCGAAGGATGGTGGGGGGGGGGGTGTGGGGTGTAGTGCGTGGGGGGGTGTTTGAGTGCGGGGGGGGGGGGGGTGAGTGAGGGGGGTGGGGGGTGAGGGGGGGGGTGGTGAGTGGGGGGGGGGGTGGTGAGTGGGGGGGGGTGGGGTGAGTGGGGGGGGGGGTGAGTGGGGGGGGGGGGGGGTGTGTGGGTGGGGGGGGGGGAGTGAGTGGGGGGGGGTGGTGAGTGGGGGGGGGGGTGGGGTGGTGAGTGCGGGGGGGGGGGTGAGTGCGGGGGGGGGGGTGAGTGGGGGGGGGTGTGGTGAGCGCGAGGGGGGGTGGTGAGTGGGGGGGGGGGGGGTGAGTGCGGGGGGGGGGGTGAGTGCAGGGGGGGTGGGGTGAGGCGGGGGGGGGGGGGGTGAGTGGGGGGGGGGGGTGGTGGGTGGGGGGGGGGGGTGGTGAGGGAGGGGGGGGGGGGTGAGTGAGGGGGGGGGGGGGGTGGTGAGGGGGGGGGGGTGTGGTGGGGGGGGGGGGGTGAGTGAGGGGGGGGGGTGGGGAGTGAGGGGGGGGGGGGTGAGTGCGGGGGGGGGGTGGTGAGTGGGGGGGGGTGGTGGTGAGGAGGGGGGGTGGTGGGAGTGGGGGGGGGGGTGAGTGCGGGGGGGGGGGGTGGGGGTGGGGGGGGGGGGTGGTGTGAGCGGGGGGGGGGTGGAGTGCGGGGGGGGGGGGGTGAGTGGGGGGGGGGGGGGGGGGTGGTGAGGGGGGGGGGGTGAGTGAGGGGGGGGGGGGGGGGGGGGGGGGGGTGAGTAGGGGGGGGGGGGTGGTGGGTGCGGGGGGGGGGGGTGAGCGGTGAGGGGGGGTGGTGAGTGCGGGGGGGGGGGGTGAGGGGGGGGGGGGTGGTGGTGCGGGGGGGGGTGGTGGTGAGCGCGAGGGGGGGGGTGGGTGAGTGCGGGGGGGGGGGGGGTGAGGCGGGGGGGGGGTGGTGAGTGGGGGGGGGGGGGGTGAGTGCGGGGGGGGTGGTGAGTGGGGGGGGGTGGTGAGTGGGGGGGGGGGTGTGAGTGCGGGGGGGGGGTGGTGAGTGCGGGGGGGGGGGTGAGTGCGGGGGGGGTGTGGTGGGTGCGGGGGGGGGGGGGGTTGAGTGCGGGTGGGGGGGGTGGGGGGGGGGGTGACTGTGCGGGGGCAGGGTTGTGACGTGCGGGGGGGGGGTGGTGAGTGCGGGGGGGGGTGGGGTGATGTGCGGGGGGGGGGGTGTGAGTGCGGGTGGGGGGGGGGGGGTGGTGGGTGCGGGGGGGGGGGTGAGTGCGGGCGGGGGGGTGGGTGGAGCTGCGGGGGGTGGGGGGTGGGGTCGAGTGCTGGGGTGGGGGGCTGAGTGGGGGGGGAAGGGTGGTGGAGTGCGTGGGGGGGTGGTTGAGGTGCGGGGGGGGGGAGGTGGTGAGTGGGGGGGGGGGTGGTGAGTGCGGGGGGGGGTGGGTGAGTGCGGGGAGGGGGGGGGGTGAGTGCGGGGGGGGGGGGGGTTGGTGAGTGCGGGGTGGGGGGTGGGTGAGTGCGGGGGGGGGGGGGGAAGTGAGTGCGGGGGGGGGGGGTGGTCGCGTGCAGGGGGGGGGGGGTGAGTGCTTGGGGGGGGGGTGAGTTGCCGGGGGGGGGGGGGTGCATGGTGGGTGGTGCGGGGGGGGGTGGTGGGTGAGCGCGAGGGGGGTTGTGTGGTGAGTGCGGGGGGGGTGAGTGCGGGGGGTGGGGGGGGGTGGGGGTGCGGGGGGGGGTGGTGGTGAGCGCGAGGGGGGGGGGGTGGTGAGTGCGGGGGGGGGGGGGGTGAGTGCGCGGGGGGGCGTGGTGAGTGGGTGCGGGGGTGAGTGGTGGTGAGTGCCGGGGGGAGGTGGTGAGGTGCCGGGGGGGGGGGGTGGTGATGTTGCGGGGTGGGGTTGCGGGTTGAGTTGCGGGGGGGGGGGGGGGTGAAGTGCGGGTGGGGGGGGTGGTGATATGCGGTGTGTAGGGGGGGGGGGGTGATGTCAGGGGGGGTGGGGAGTGATTTGCGCGGGGGATGGTGGTGAGTGCGGGGCGGGGTGGGTGGAGGTGCGGGGGGGGGGGGTGAAGTGCGGGGGGGGGGGGGTGAGGCGGGGGGGGGGGGGGTGAGTGCGGGGGGGGGGGGGGGGTAGGGGGGTGGTGGGGGGGTGGGGGGGGGGGAGTGCGGGGGGGGGGGGGGGTGAGTGCGGGGTGGGCGTGTGCAGTGAGCGCTGGGTGGGTGAGTGAGTGGGGGGGGGGGGTTTGAGTGAGTGGGGGGGGGGGGGTGGTGTGAGTGAGTGGGGGGGGGGGGTGAGTGAGTGGGGGGGGGGGTGAGCAGGAGTGGGGGGGGGGTTGAGTGAGGGGGGGGGGGGGTGAGGTGAGTGATGGGGGGGGGGGGTGAGTAGTGGGGGGGGGTAGTGAGTGGGGGGGGGGTGGAAGTGAGGGGGGGGGTGGGGGTGGGGGTGAGTGAGTGGGGGGGGGGTGAGTGAGTGGTGGGGGGGGTGAGTGAGTGGGGGAGGGGGCGTGAGTGGTGGGGGGGGGGGTTGGGGAGTGCGTGGGGGGGGGGGTGAGTGAGTGGGGGGGGGGGGGGGTGTGAGTGAGTGGGGGGGGGGGAGGAGTGGAGGGGGGTTGGAGTGCGTGTGTGGGGGGGCAGGTGAGTGAGTGGGGGGGGGGTGTGGGTGAGTGAGTGTGGGGGGGGGGTTAGGAGGTGGGGGGGGGGGGAGTGATGGGTGAGGGGGGGGGGGGTGATTGTGGTGAGTTGGGGGGGGAGTGAGTGGGGGGGGGGTGAGTGGGGGGGGGGGGTGAGTGGGGGGGGGGGTGAGTGAGGGGGGGGTGTGAGTGGGGAGGGGGGGGGGTGAGTGGGAGTGGGGGGGGGGGGGGTGGGGGGGGGGGAGGGTGGGGGGGGGTGGGGTGGGGGGGGGGGGGGGGCGTGGTGGGGGGGGGGGTGGGGGGGGGGGGGGTGGGAGGGGGGGGTGGTGGTGAGTGGGGGGGGGGGTGAGTGAGGGGGGGGGGTGGGGTGAGTGGGGGGGGTGGTGAGGTGGGGGGGGGGGGGGTGGTGAGTGCGGGGGGGGGGGGGTGGTGAGTGGGGGGGGTGAGGTGAGTGGGGGGGGGGGGGGGGGTGGTGAGTGCGGGGGGGGGTGAGTGGGGGGGGGGGTGGTGAGTGCGGGGGGGGGGTGGGGTGGTGAGGGGGGGTGGTGAGGGGGGGGGGGGGGGGGTGAGTGCGGGGGGGGGGGTGGTGAGTGGGGGGGGGTGGTGGGAGAGTGGGGGGGGGGTGGGTGGTGGTGAGTGAGCTGGCGGGGGGGGGGGGGGTGAGTAGCGGGGGGGGGGGGTGGTGGTACGTGCGGGGGGGGGGTTGGTGGTTGAGGCGCGAGGGGGGGGGGGGGGGGTTGATGGGCGGGGGCGGGAGGGGGGTGATGTGCGGGGGGGTGGTGGTGACGCCGCGGGAGGTGGGGGGTGGAGTGAGGGCGGGGGGTGGGGTGGGTGGGTGCGGTGCGGGCGGGGTGGTGGTGAGCGCGTGATGGGGGGAGGGGTGGGTTGGTGAGTGCGGGGGGGGGGGGTGAGTGCGGGGGGGGGGTGCGTTGGGTGCGCGGGGGGGTTGGTGGTGAGCGCGATGGAGGGGGGGGTGGTGAAGGTGCGGGGGGAGGGGGGGGTGAGTTGCGGGGGGGGGGAGGTGGTGAGTGCGGGGGGGGGGTTGGTGAGGTGCGGGGGGGGGGTGAGTGGTGAGTGCGGGGGAGTGGTGGTGAGTGCGGGGGTGGGGGGGTGGTGGGTGCGGGGCGGGGTGGGTGTGAGTGCGGGGGGGGGGGTGAGTGCCGGGGGGGGGGGGGGTTGTGGGTGCGGGGGGTGGTGGTGAGTGCCGCTGGGGGGGGGGTGGTGAGTGGGGGGAGTGGTGGTGAGTGGGGGGGGGGGTGGGTGAGTGGGGGGGGGGGGTGAGGTGCGGGGGGGGGGGGGGTGGGTGGGGGGGGGGGTGAGTGAGGGGGGGGGGGTGGTGAGGGGGGGGGGGTGGTGAGTGGGGGGGGGGGTGGTGGTGGGTGGGGGGGGGGGGGGTGAGGGGGGGGGGTGGGTGAGGCGGGGGGGGGGGGTGAGTGGGGGGGGGGGGGTGGTGGGGGGGGGGGGGGTGGGGAGGGGGGGGGGGGGTGGGGTGGGGGGGAGTGGTGGTGAGTGCGGGGGGGGGGGGTGAGTGCGGGGGGGGGGGGGGTGAGTGAGGGGGGGGGGGGGGGTGGTGGGTGGGGTGGGGGGGGGGTGAGTGCGGGGGGGGGGGTGGTGAGTGGGGGGGGGGGTGGTGAGTGCGGGGGGGGGGGTGGTGGGTGGGGGGGGTGAGTGGGGGGGGGGGGGTGGGAGTGCGGGGGGGTGGTGAGTGGGGGGGGGGGGGTGAGTTCGGGTGGGGGGTGGGAGTGCGGGGGGGGGGGGTGAGGCGGGGGGGGGGTGAGTGCGGGGGGGGCGGGGTGAGGCGTGGGGTGTGGTGGTGAGCGCGGGGGGGGGGGGTGAGTGCGGGGGGGGTGGGGGTGGTGGGTGCGGGGGTGGTGGTGGTGAGCGCGAGGGGGGGGGGTGGTGAGTGAGTGCGGGGGGGGTGAGTGCGGGGGGGGGGGTGGTGGGTGCGGGGGGGTGGTGGTGAGCGCGAGGGGGGGGGGTGTGAGTGAGGGGGGGGGGGGGGTGAGTGCGGGGGGGGGGGTGGTGTGAGTGCGGGGGGGGGTGGTGAGTGCGTGGGGGGGGGTGGTGAGTGCGGGGGAAGTGGTGGTGAGTGCGGGGGGGGGGGGTGGTGGGTGCGGGGGGGGGGTGGGGTGAGTGCGGGGGGGGGGGGGGGTGAGTGCGGGGGGGGGGGGGTGGTGGGTGCGGGGGGGGGTGGTGAGTGCGGGGGGGGGTGGTGAGTGCGGGGGAGTGGTGGTGAGTGCGGGGGGGGTGGGGTGAGTGCGGGGGGGGGGGGGTGAGTGCGGGGGGGGGGGGGTGGTGGGTGCGGGGGGGGGGGGTTGAGTGCGGGGGGGGGGGTGGTGAGTGCGGGGGGGGGGTGGTGAGTGCGGGGGGGGTGGTGGTGAGTGCGGGGGGGGGGGGTGGTGAGTGCGGGGGGGGGTGGGGTGAGCGTGCGGGGGGGGGGGGTGGTGGGTGCGGGGGGGGGTGGTGAGTGCGGGGGTGGGGTTGGTGAGTGCGGGGGGGGGGTGGTGGGTGCGGGGGGGGGGTGGTGGTGGGTGCGGGGGGGTCCGTACGTGATGAGCTCCTTCTTGCCGTCCTTGGAGAAGAAGGCCTTGGGCCGGGGGCTGGGCGCCGTCACCTCCCCCGGGTAGCGCCGCTCCTCCAGCGAGTCGGCGGCCGAGCGCTCGTCATCGTCCACGTACCCTCCTCCCTGCACCGCGACACGCACCACCACCACCGCCACCGCCACCACCAGGAGCACCACCGTCACCACCACCACCACCGCCACCACCATCACCAGCAACAACAACAACAGCCGCAATTCGTAAATGAGTGGCGGTGACGTGACCACGGCGCTTGTGCCATGTGAAGCGTCGAAGGCTCGCGGTTGGCAGAAGGTCACGGGACAGACTCAGGTGCCATATGTTGACTGAGATGACTGGTTGATGCACCAGTTGTGCCTCCCACTCTGCCAACTTGTTGTATTTTATCCGCTCGGTGCTCCACTCGTTGTTGTGAGCGTCGCTCCTCTGCCCCATGTTGTTATTGGAGGGCGACTGCCTCCAACTGACTAGCAGCGTCCCTCACGAGCCTCCTCCATAAAGGCCGATCTTGACATCGCTGGTACCCGTCTTCGGCAAATCCACTCAGCTCCACATCCTCCTATACCGTATCAGCCCATCTCTTCTCTAGTCCGTGCCGCGCCCGTTTATCCCCTCTATCTGGTGAAATAGAAGCTGATTGGGCATGCGGTCACTAGGCATGCGGGCTACATGATCCAGCCAACGCAGCCTTGCCCGCCGGAGGAGCTCACTGATGGGAATGTGTCCAGATCTTTCAATGGTTTGTGAGCTCCTCACACAATCCAGCCTGGTTAAACCTAAGATAGATCGTAGGCTGCCAGCCTGAAAGTTTCAAATCGGCACAGATGTTCCATTAGAGGGGTCCTCGTTTCGCAAGCAAAGAAAAGTAAGGACATGACTGTGGCCGAGAAGAAATTAGCGTGGAACGACAGACCACGTGACTTCCACGCGGCGTTACGCAGCTGACGAAAAGAGACCGCCGCTTGACTGAGCCGGAGTGAGACCTTTGCCGCCAAACGGGAGTTGGTTATAAGCACACTACCCAGGTACGGCATCTTCAGCACTCTCCCCCCATGACTCGTGGGGAGTTGAGGGGGTTGAGTATCGGGTGTTACACATTACCTCGACTTGTGCTGGGCGATTTGTCACACTCCAGCTTCAGCAGCAGAACCTCTAACTCTTTCTCAGAGTAAGCAGCAATCACGAGATCATCAGCGTATGTAACATGGTTTACCAGTAGGGAGCCTTCCCTTGACCGCAACCGGACATCGATCATCCTCCCATTGCATCTATACCACTAGCACCGCCACCAACCCCGGCGCCATCACCGCCGTGAGCGGTGAGCGGTGAGCGGTGAGCGGCGAGCGGTGAGTGGTGAGTGGTGAGCGGCGAGCGGTGAGTGAGTGAGCGGTGAGCGGTGAGCGAGTGAGCGGTGAGCGAGTGAGCGAGTGAGCGGTGAGCGAGCCTCCCTCACCTCGGCACGCCCCAGCTTGGTGTAGTGTGCGTGGTGAGTGGTGAGCGAGTGAGCGATGAGCGAGTGAGTGGTGAGCGGTGAGTGGTGAGTGGTGAGCGAGCCTCCCTCACCTCGGCACGCCCCAGCTTGGTGTAGTGTGAGTGGTGAGTGGTGAACGGTGAGTGGTGAGTGAGCCTTCTTTCACCTCGGCACGCCCCAGCTTGGTGTAGTGTCAGTGGTGAGCGGTGAGTGGTGAGCGCTGAGTGGTGAGTGGTGAGCGGTGAGTGGTGAGCGAGCCCCCCTCACCTCGGCACGCCCCAGCTTGGTGTAGTGTGAGTGGTGAGTGGGGAGCGGTGAGTGGTGAGCGGTGAGTGGTGAGTGGTGAGCGGTGAGTGGTGAGCGGTGAGCGGTGAGTGGTGAGTGAGCCTCCCTCACCTCGGCACGCCCCAGCTTGGTGTAGTCCACGGGGCCGTCCCAGCCCTCGGGCTCGTCGGGGAGGTGCGCGTAGCGGTTCACGCGTCCCGCCCCCGCTCCGGCGAGGGGCGCGGGGGAGCCGTGACGCGGGGGCGGGGCCCCCCCTTCGCAGGGGGGGCTGGGGGAGCGGCCCCCCCCGCTGCCACCGCCTCCTCCCGCTCCCCCCTCGCCGGGCGCCGCGGTGGCGATGGCTGACGGACGAGCCTTCTTCAGGCTGAGGTCGAGCGTCCCGTTCTCGTCCACCTCGATGAGCTGGGGGGGGTGGTGCTGCGGTGGGGGCGGTGGGGCGGGTGGTGGAGGGGGGGGCAAGAGACGAGGGTGAGACGTCATCGTCACTCCTCATCGTTCCCATCAGCAGCCGTGAGCTCTCCGCCGCTGCTCGACGGCCCCCTGCACCACGCGGCCGTCTCCGCTGTGGGGGGCGAGCGGCAGTCGCCGTTTCTCACTGTGCCCCCACCTCATCGTCCCACCACCCACCCACCCAGCCACCCACCCACCCAGCCACCAACCCAGCCACCCAGCCACCCACCAACCCACCCAGCCACCCACCCACCCAGCCACCCACCAACCCACCCAGCCACCCACCCACCAGGCAATGCGAGTGCGTGCGGGCCGTGGTTTTAAAAAGGTGGAGGAGCTCTGCTGTAATGAACACAACAATTATAATAATACTATTCGCACAGAGGCTTCAGAAAACATTAGTAAAAATCATCAAAGGCACTCAAATGCATGACTTATTAAACAACAAACACAACCACCACAACAACAACAGCACGCACGCGCGCGTGCTATAAACCCAACCGAGGCGGCACAAAGCGGAGAAAAATAATTATCAACGCGGGGAAAAAGAGCAGCGAGTACGAAGCGAGTGGCCGTGAGTCCATCGCCCCCATTCAGCACGCGGCACGGAGGCGGCGCGCGCGCCGTTGAGAGCCGTCAGCGAGGCCCCACGCCATTGGCCGCCGTGGCCCCGCGTCACAGCCCTCCCTTTGATGACGCGGGAGAAGGGGGGGGGGCTCAGCCCCCATAAATAATTCACGCGCGATCTCAACCCTCGCAAAGAGCCTCGCTCGCTCGCAGTGGCCGGGGCGCTAATCTCGGTAATTGATGCACAGCGCAGCCCCCCCCCCTCCTCCTCCTCATCCTCCTCGGATGCTATGCACGCTCCCGGTCCAGGTTAGTGACCTTTGAAATAACAACAACAACAATAATAACAATACTCCCCGCCCGCCTCTCTCTCACCACCCCTCGATGGAAAATAAAATATCTGCCCCCGACCTGCTCGCCCCCCCACTACTGAGATAACACTCATCATCCTGAAACAGATAAACAACTTGAATCCACGATCACCACCTCCCTCCCGTTCCCTCCCCACCCCCATCCATCCTTCGCCCCCCCCCCCCACTCCAGCCCCCTCCGCAGCTTCTGTTTACACGACTCAACGCCTGTGTGTTGGTTACAGAGATGAGGCCTGACATTTTGGGGTCATCTGCAGAAGGAGAAGGGCTTTTGAAGTTTCAAGCAGTGGTGAACGCGCCAAACTAATCACGGCTCATCGTGTTTGTAAACACACACACACACGCGCGTGTGTGTGTGCGCGTGTGTTTACAAACACGATGGTTTGTGCGCAGCGCTACAATCCCAGCGAACCGAGTTCGATTACCGCTCACGACCATTAAGGGTGGCGAATATGCGAACCGGTCCCGGGCCTTCCAGAAGGTCGACTCAGCCTCAAGTTAGTACCTGGTATGGTGCGTAAACATTGCCGCTCGGGATACAAAGGTGGTCGGGCGTGGTTCTGGTGTTTTACACGCCGTGCCAGGTACTCAATTAAGGCTGAGGTGATCTAGGCGAATCCCAGGACTGGTTGAGATATTGGCCGTGAGCGGGAAAAGAACTCGGATCAGCGGGTTGGGCTCACAGTGAAGTCCGCTAACCGCTGCGCCACCACTCTCCCCAGGAGAAATGACAATTTTGTTTTCGGGATAAACCAGCAACTGCGTCACCATGGCAGCGTCACCACGGGAAGGTGGTGGAATTAACCGGGAAAAGGGCAGGGAACGGGAGAGGGAACAGAGAGAGAGAGAGCGGGGGTTAGAGGAAGAGGGCGGATAACAGAGCGGAGAAACGTGAGCACCGAGGGGCCAGGAGAGACGAGGAGAGGGAGGAGGGGGAGGCTGCGCCAGGGCCTCGGCGCTGCTGCTGCTGCACGGAGCGGCGTCTGTTTTCACAGTGGGCGGGGGGAGGGGATGGGTTCAGAGTGGTGGTGGTCACACACAGAAGCCACCTGGTTTACGTGGGATGCGGCTGACGTAGACAGCGCCAATACAAACGCGAGGCAACTCCACACGCGTCTCACCCCGATCAGCTGCTGCTGCTGCAGCTGCTGCTGCTGCTGCGCCACTCCCGTTGCTGGTGGTGGTGCGGCGAGCGAGGACGAGCTCGAGGAGGAGGAGGAGGTGGTAGCGGATGAGGCGGATGAGGAGAGGAGAGCGTGGGGCGGGGGCGATGCCGGGTGCGCGCGGGTTGACAGGTTCTGCGGGAGCTCGCGGCACCGCGTCGACAAGTTGAGGATGGCCGCCGCCGCCGCCATGTGGTCGGCGGCCGCCACCGCGGCGGCGGCGGCGTCGGCCCCGAAGTCGGGCCCCGCGCCGGGGCCCTTGCCGAAGGCGAAGGACGAGAGGCGCGCGGCAGGGCCCGGCGCCAGCGGCTTCACTGCGGGGGGCACGGCGCAAGCCGCACGCGCGCGGGGAGAGAGAGAGACACACAGCGTCACGCGCGGCCGCCCAGGCCGCCCGAGACGTCCCCGTCGGCGTGGGGCCCCCGCTGACGGGTGAGTCGCTCGCGAGAGTCGCGGACGCGGTCTGGAAGGCGGCAGCCGCGCGGCGAGTCGCCGCTCCCCGGCACCCGCCCGAAGCTCTTGGCTCGCCAGCGCGATGCGGCCACAGGCCACCGAGGAATGCGTAAGAGATGTTTGGGTGAGGCTGTGTCGTGATCCGGCCAAATCTGTGTCGTGAGACACTCCACCACCCGACGCAGCCAAACAAATGAACTCGTCACGTGGTGTACACGGATTTAACGAGGCGCCGATTGTTGTTGTGTGGCTCAGCCCCCAACTCTACCCCTAACAACAACACAACTATACTTACACAACTATACTTACACATATCATTGGTTGGGGTTAGGGGAAGAGTGGAGGTTATGCGTTGCGTGAGGGTCATGGATCGTGTTGTTGTTGTTCAGGTTGGAGTTGTTGTGGTGGTATTGTTGTTACGACTCAGCTACCGCAC